TGTGAATGTTTGGTGGGGGAAGGGTAAGTTCTTAAAAGAAAGATTTTTACTGAACTAAAAAAAAAAAAGATACAGGAGGAGAAGTATATGGATAAACTTTCTCTTCATTGGGAGACTGGGTGGTATATAAAGCAGAAAGAGCCAGACTTGAGGTCAGCTGGATCAGGGTTCCAATTCTAACTGGCCACCTTCCCGCTGCGTGATATTAGACAAGCTAATCGACTTCTCTGAGCCTTCTTGTGGATCTGTAAAATGGTGGTAATAACTAGTTTATGAGATAATTTTGAATGTTAAACAAGAAAATAGACAAGGTTCTACCATATGGGAGGAACTCAGTAAATGTTCATCTCTTTTCCAGTTTTTGGAACCTTATCGTAAACACTAATATTGTTTTTCTTAAATATGTCCCAATTTTTTTGGAATGGGTACGACATTCAGAACCTTCCTAATGGCGCTGCCAGGCACCTACCTGGGCATGAATGAAAATGAATCAAGCCTGAGCTCATCAGTAGCCCAACTTTGTCCCCAAAAAATCAATACAGGTTTTCCCCACATTATGTAATATGTGCTTTCCTGAGACATTGAAGGTAAATCAATTTTTTCCCCAGTTCATCATGTCATCCAGTGAGCATCCGGTGTCAGCTCAGCATTGTGCTGAGGCTACAAAGGGGACACACACATACACACACACGCACAACCAACTGTGATTCTTGCTTTCAAGTTTCCTATATTTTTACCAAACCACACCATAAATGTGCCAAAGGAGCTTGCTAAATGGCATCACATGGTAGACCCTTTTATAAAGCAAAGAACCCTTTTAAGACAGGAAGAATTACTATCCAATGCACATCCTATTTACTTATATATTTGTATTTGTCAATTTGAATTTTCATGGTAAAGGCCTTTTCCAACTCCAGCATATGGTAAACCGATAATGAATATTTGTTGACTAAATGAACAGAGTTCAAAATCAAGGCATACCCATATTTGATAATCATATTTGTGTGTGGGTAGATAACTCATAAGGACAAATAGTTTATAGCTATTTGTTCCCATAAGAATCTTGCAGGGGAGGAAAAACAGGCCTTTGTTATGCCCATTTCACAGGTGAGGCAACTGAGGCCTATAAAGAGTAACTGACTTCCTCAAATAAGTATCTGAAAAGTCTGATGGAAGTTCAGTCCAGACTTTGCCAGCAGGGAAAGCCCCAGCAATGAAGTCAGGAAAATTTTAGCTCACTTGTCCCCTTGGCTGACTTGATCTCAGGACCTGTCAAGAGTACATGTCTGTCCTCCCAGGCATGCAGGCTGGAGGCCCCCAAAGCTTCAGCCCTTTCTTTTTCCATATCCTGTTGCCTTCCAGGGCTAGATATTCAACTCTGAAATCTGTGCCCTATTCTCCAGTCCCCTGTCTTGGCCCAAATGCCTGTTCTCCATCCCTGTCTCTCATCTCAGGCCCTCCCTGTGGGTGACCCTCTGCCCTTGAGTACATTTGTTTGGTTGTCACTTACTAAGCCCCTCCTTTATAACAGACACTGGGCTGGGGACTGGAGACACACGGCTGAATAAGACATGGCCTCTGCCCTCTGGAACACAGCTGAGTGGATAGTGCCATGAGAAAAAGCTAGATGGAGGACTCAACAGCGCTTGGCAGGACATTTAAATTTGACTGCTCTGCAGGGGAAATCTGTGTGGGGTTTTGAAGGATGAATAGGAGTTCATCAGATTGGCAGTGGGAGGGGAGGGAATTCCAGTGGGAGGAAAGAGCACAGGCAAAAATGCAGAGGTGTGAATTAGTAAGATCTGTTTAGGGCCCTACCAGGAGCTGGCATGGGTATGTTGCTAGCGAGGAGACAAGAAAGGTGAGACTGGAATGGGAAGTAGGGCCAGGAAAGCGGGTGTTTGGATTTTATCATCTGAGGGTCCCTGCCAGGTTTTTAGGCCAGGGCCTGATGTGATCAAATTTAAATTTTAGAAAAAGTACTCTGATAGCAGTGTGGGGAATGGATTAAGGAGCTCAAGGATACATTTTGTTTTGTGCACCATTATATCTCCAGCAGCTAGTAGGTACACTGGGAGAGTAGGTGCCCTTGTATGTTGAAAGGGTGAATGAGTGATCCAGTTAGCAGCTTACTGCAGAAAACCAGGAGAAGTTTCTGAACTAAGATCATGAGAGTAGAGAAGAGTGGATTGACATGGGAAAGGTACAGGGTTTGTATCAGTCAGGAAAATGGAACCCAGGCCAGGAAGTACAGTGGAAAAAAATTAAAGCGAGGAACTAGTTATGAAGGCATTGGAAGAGCAGAAACAAACATAGAACAAAACAACACAGCGTGCAGTGTGGGCCCAGAGGTTATCAACATCGCGAAGCTGCTTCCACCCTAGGGCAGGAGGGATGAAAGTTGTGTTACTTGATCCCAGGAGCCAGAGTGCCTAGAGCAAGCTATGGCCAGGAAGAGGGAGGCGGTGCCTTGGTCGGGTCCCCCAGGAAGCCGACTGGAGATGGAGATTAGCATGCAGGAGGTTTATCAGGGAGTGCCTGTGGAAGGGGAGGGAAGGAGTAGGACTGGCTGGAGAGAAGAGCTGTGCTGGAGGCAATCTCAAGGAAGAACTCAGTTGACCCTAAATGGGCGGCTGAAGCTGGGTTGCCCTTCAGAGTTGGCTCAAGTTGGGGCGAGGAGGCTGGACTCCACAATCACCTGTCATTGGATGTGGACCTCCTGGGAAGGGAGTGTGAACTGGGGCAAGGTAGCCCTTCTCAGTTGAGGCAGTTTCCAAAACTCCCAAAAGGTGTTCCTAGCAGTCCCGGGGTGGAGGGTTGGGGGTGTGTGGGTGGATAAATCCTTCATTCCTGTAGGGAGATCTGGCAGCACATGGCAACAGCTACACAGAGGGGCTGCCTAGCGGGGCCTGGGCCACAGAGGAGGTGTAACCAGTGCCCAAAGCAGCACCCTCCCATCTCTCTCCAGGGCCTCCCTCTGTGCAAAATGGGCTGTAAGCCAGTGGGCAAGGGAGCATGAGAAATAGTCTGCAAGGGGCAGCTCCAAGAAGCTGAGGAGGGGGCGGCAGGGGGTGGCTGTGAGACCTAGCAGGTCTAGGATGGACCCAGTGACAACTGAGTGGGGGATAGGAAAATGGTGGATTCAAGGGGAAAAGACTGCCAGGGATTCTGGCCCTGGGGATGGGTGGTGGTGATGCCTTTCTCTCAGAAGAGGCACTGAGGGAGATGCACACCTTGGAGGAAGATGCTGGTGGCCCATGCTGAGTTTGCCATCCAAGTGCTGATGCCCGGCTGGCAGCTCAATGGATCTTAAATAAATAGCACAAAATGAACTTGAAAGAAGGAAAACCTCTGGTGGGTTCTCGCCTGGTTACAGGATTAAGTGCAGCCTTCTCAGCAGGCATTGGAGCTTTTCACATTTCCCCCAATGACACGTGCAGTGCAGGCTCGGCTCCGGCCTTGCAGCCACCCTGGCCTCTTTAAGCTGACCCTACCCTTCCCTACATCCCTGCCCTCCCCCCACCCCACCCCAGCAACTCGTTTACAATCCCACACATCCCCCCAGGTCAAATGCCTTCTAGGGGGAATCCTCCCTGACTTCTCTTTTCTCTGTACAAATTGTAATCTTCCCTGAGTTCCCACAAATGCTTAAGAGATTGAATGCATTCAGTAGCTATTTGACCACAGCAAGTAACTTAACTTTGCAGGCTTCCTCTGTGTGAAAAAGGGCAAAAAATAACCCCACTGGGTGGCTGTAAAACTGCAGTGTGTGTAAAGTGCACGTTACAGACTTCAATTAATGTTAGCTATTATTACTAGTTTTCATCTTCTAATCCCTAGCGTCTAGTTTAGCAGATGCTTCATTAGTATTTGTTGAACGAATGGAGATTTGATATGGAAAAGGATTTATCCTTGGGGCTCGACCTGGTTTTAGAAAATGAAGTATTTAGCAGAAGTACAGAAGGGACTGTCTGATAACAGTTATCAATGTTGGGTGTCCAGGGACTCCAAATGGACCTGGTTCTCGAAAGAAAGAAAACCGACAGATTCTAGGTTGTCTTTTCACGGAACTTTGTGCAGGGTCTGACACACATCTCGAGCTCACCCAAATCACGTTGCACGAGTGCATGCACACGCCCTGGCAGGGTTGCCCGGGTGTAGGCAGCATCACTGTCGGTGGCCAGGATGACTTAGACTCCGCTCCCCGGCCACCACGGAACCGGGCTGGCCCCGGCGTCCTAGACCCTGCCGCGCGTGTGGAGGCTGGGGAGAGGGCAGGAATTCGGCGACGGCCACGTGGGCCCCTTCCGCCCTCTCCCCACATCCTTTGTTTCCCACCGGCCCCGGCTCAGGAAGCTCTTTCTGCGAGTCACCGCGAAGGGGCGGCCCGAGAGCCCGGAGGAGCTATTTCCGTGCAATCCGGGCGGGCGGCAGGCGCGGGAGGGGCGTGGAGGTGGAGGCAGCGCAGAAGGCCCAGTGTTTGCTCTTATTTCATCCAACAGAAGGTTCTATTTGTGGAAGCGAACAGACGCTGGGGATTAGAGCTGGGAGGGGGCGGGAAAAGGAAAAAAAAAAGCCACATCCACTACCACGCGCAGGTCTTCCCCGGAACCACCGCGTGGGGGTGAATGAGTGATTCTGGAATTCATCACCTTCTCTCTCCTCCCTTCCTCCAGCTACCGCCGGGCCTCGGCGACGCCCACGGCTCCAACCGGAGGTCCCAAGGCTTGGGGCACTGGGGGGATCCCCGGGGCAAGAGGTGTCACCCCGCGGCTGCAGCGAGCGGCGGGTGCTGAGAGCCCTGGTGCGCGCGCCCGCAGTCCATTGTGCTCGGAGTGAATGGTGAGCGCGCACCAATCAACGGTTGCTTCGACCCCCACGGCCCCTCCCCTCCCGCCCACTTCCCCAGGACCCTGACGTCACGGGAACTTTTCCTCCGCCCCCTCCTCCGGCTTCTCGCGCTGAGCCCGCGGCCTGCGGGAGGGCGCGCGCCTCCTCCCGCCTAGACCGGCTCGGGGGGCGTGTGCGCGCGCAGGACACGCCACCTGCGCCGGAGCGCGCTCTGCCCGAAGCATCCCCAGCCGTCGGGCCACCCCCGTCGCCCCCGCCGGCCCAGCTGCACCTCCCCTCCGCTCCGGTGACTGCTCGCCCGGCGGCAGGGCCCGAGTCGTCGCAGCCACCTCATTGCACAACCCGGCTTCCCAACTGTTTACACAGCCCGGCCTGTGAGTGTATGTGTATACAGCGTGAGTCACCGGGAGGCGGAGGAGGTGGAGGAAAAGGAGAAGGAGGAGTGCACTAGCCGGGATCGGTGCGGCTCACACACTCACTCACACTCAGTTACCCTCTCCGAGCGCGTCTGTCTCGCGCACACTCACGCCGGGAGCCCGGAGCGCGTAGGATCCCGGGCGCCGCGGAAAAGTTGGTCCAGCTTTCGCTCCGGCACTTCTTGCTTTGGGAAGTGCATTTGCTCCGTGGCTCCGCCGAGCCTGCGGAATCCTGTTCTCGCTGCTCCGGACCTCGGAGGCCGCCGCCGCCTCTGCTTCCCCGACTGTCGGCAGCCTCTACAACAATAGCGAGGCTCCCCGAGCCGGTACCCACGGGGATCCGGGGACCCGAACCGGCCTCCTTTCCCCGGACGCGCGGCCACCGTGGTCCTCGCGTGTACCGCGAGCGCCCGGGAGCGGCTCCGGCTTTGCCCCCCGTGGGGGCAGAACCAAGCTCCGTCTGCAACCTCCATCCCGCGGGCTGGAGTAAGTCGCGGCGCCGGCGCCGACCCAGTTGCACCTTCCCGCGCCGATCCGAGGACGTACAAAGCCGGGGCCGCCCCGGCCGGGGACGGGATGCGGGTCGGTCCCGTGCGCTCTGCTATGAGCGGCGTCTCGCAGCCCCGCGCTCCGGCCTTGCTGCTCCCGGTCGGCCGGGGCGCCCCGGCCAAACGCCTGTTGGACGCGGACGACGCGGCGGCCGTGGCGGCCAAGTGCCCACGTCTCTCCGAGTGCTCTAGCCCCCCGGACTACCTCAGCCCCCCTGGCTCTCCCTGCAGCCCGCAGCCTCCGCCCGCCGCTCCGGGGGCTGGCGGCGGCTCCGGGAGCGCGCCGGGGCCCAGCCGCATCGCCGACTACCTGCTGCTGCCCCTGGCCGAGCGCGAGCATGTGTCCCGGGCGCTGTGCCTCCACACCGGCCGCGAGCTGCGCTGCAAGGTAGGCACTCAGGGGCTGGGACCCGGGACCCGGTGGGGGGTCGCGGGGTGAGGGGACCCGGTGGCAGGCAAAGGTGTTTGGGGTCTCGCCCACCGTCGCCCGGGGGCCGAAGGTGCCATCAGGGCTTGGGCTTGGGGCAAGGCGGATAAGGGGGTTTGAGCCCGTTAAGGCAGCATTTGACCAGGGTCACCCTATTGGGGATTGAGGGGTTCGGATGGAGTGGTATAGTGGGGGCTTGGCGGTCGAGAGGAAGTGCGGTGCTCAGTTGCTTTACAACATCTATGTTATTTGCTTAGCGCCGAGTTTAGTGCGTGGCGTTCCACATAAGTTGTGGAATTGATATGGATTCCAGGGCCATGCCATTCCCACTTTCCCATTCTCCTCGCTTCCCCCGCCCCTCGTTCTGGAAGGACGCCCTGCTGTGGGTGCCTCCTTGGAGCTTGGAGCAGCTGGCAACTCTCTTGCTGGGGCTGCGGGGCACCCGGGCTCAGCCGTGGGTGGTAAGGGGGCGGGAAGTCCGTGTTGGGCTCCGGTCTTGGGGATTCCGGCTGAAACCCGCGCTGGAACCGGAACCCTGTCCTCCCCAGAGAGTAGTCTGAGAGGGTCTTCCAGCGAGGGCGGGGGGTATTTGGCCGGAATAGAAATGTTGGAAAGCCCACACCGACTAGGAACCCTCGCTTCCATTCATGTCTTGCTTTTCCGGCCCGCGATTTTCCTTTGAACATAAGGGGCTCCATCCTGGAGGGGATACAACTCTTGCAAACAGGATCCTCCGCACTCTCCTCCAGCGCCCATAGACGCAGAACATTCCCACAGGCCATGCACCCTTTGCGAGCTGGACACCCGGGCCTCAGACATCCCTGAGAAGCCTCCGGGCTGCTCGTTTTTACCGGAAACATAGGGTCACCCCTCAGTTTAAGTCGCTCTTTGGTTTTCCGCAACTCACCTGACCCCCCGAGCTCCCCTTCCCTGGCCTCGCTGCTGCCACCTACTGTCCGACCCGAACGAAACTTCACGTGTGTGATCAAGCCCAGTTTAAAGGGGGGCAAAAATCTTTTCTTCGTGGTGGCTGGGGAGCAGAGCTCAGAGGGTATGAGTGTGGGCTGGGGTGGGAGGAGGGGGGCAGCGGAAAGGTTTTTCGAGCTGGTGCCGGAGCAGCCGAGCGTCAGAGGTGGGGTGGGTCTGGTCATTGTGCAACCCCTTCCAGTTCCTCCGAGCAGATAATAGCTGAATCCAGATGGTGACAACCCGTGTGTCACCGTTTCCAGTTGAGTCTAGGATATGAGTAACCGGACTAAACAAAAGGCCCTTAAAGAGACCAGCCAGCTTCTTAGAGAAGATGCTACCCATGTCCCGAGTGAAAGTGGGGATGGGAGTTGGTGGGGGGGGAGATAAGTAAACAAATGAACCCCCCCCCCAGAGGATCCCGTATCCCTCCTGTGGGAATTTTAACTCAAGACTGCTTATACCTGAGTCACAGCCTCGGCAGGTTCCTTAGGGCTGTGTTGACAGTCTTGCGCTTGGAGTCATCTGTTCCTTCTGAGTAATGACAGAGCTGTACGTTCTCCAGCTGTATGTTCTTCCACTTGGAGGCTGCAGAGTCACCATGTCCTGTGCTCTCTTTGGTCTGCAGGAGGTCACGCATTTCCAGAGGCTGCTCCTGGAGATCCCAGGGGGACCTCTATCAGCCACTTTGCACAGCATTACCTGCCAACGAGAAAGGGCCACAGAGGGTGGGGACTTAGGAGCTTAGCTCTCTGGAGCCGGAAGGCCATACCTAGAAGACTTCTTTTAAACCATCCATATGGTAGCTCTTTGGAGATTTGCCAGCCCTAGATGCTACTGCTTTTGGGTGTTAGGAGTAGCCCAGGCTGCATCAGGTGGGGTTGCAGAGCTAACAGGGGTTGCAGGAGGTTGGGGTAAATGAATGGAGCCTCACTTTCAACCAAAGCCCAGAGATTGAGAACTGCAGCCCAGCCCAGGATCTGGGAGGCAGCCTCTGCTTTTCTAGCCTCCTAAGTGAGTCCCCTTCTCTCTGCAGGTGTTTCCCATTAAACACTACCAGGACAGAATCCGGCCTTACATCCAGCTGCCCTCACACAGGAACATCACTGGCATTGTGGAAGTGATCCTTGGGGAAACCAAAACCTATGTCTTCTTTGAGAGGGACTTTGGGGACATGCACTCCTATGTGCGCAGCCGGAAGAGGCTGCGGGAAGAGGAGGCTGCCCGGCTCTTCAAGCAGATCGTCTCTGCCGTTGCCCACTGCCACCAGTCAGCCATCGTGCTGGGGGACCTAAAGCTTAGGAAGTTTGTCTTCTCCACGGAGGAGAGGTGAGCGGCCTCCACAGCCTCTCCTGTGCCTTTGGACTCCAAAACAAGGGTGCAGGTCGAGCAGTTAGGTGCAGGGTATTGGTTCAAAACAACACCAAGGGCTCAGTTGTCCCAGAGTTAGTCTTTAGAAATCCTCTCTCCAGAGGGGCCAAAGCCAAAGTTGGTTATTCTGCACCCTTGTGGATGTGGCCTGGGGACACCTTGGTGCATCTGTGGGATGTCACGTGAGGACAGGATGCCCTCCCCGCTTCCACCCCAGGATCAGGTTTATTCCCCATCGTTGTCAGAAAGGTCAGTTCTCCTGCGGTACAAATGTCAGTCTGCCCTTCACAACATCCATTCCTAGAGGATGTCTTCAAATCCTTGTTTATACCGAGTGGGGTTTTTTTTCTTGTTTTTTTCCCCCCTGTTTATTTATTTATTTATTGTACCTAGTAAGTATCACAGAGCTGGTCAGACTGTTGTAGTTGCAGAAACCTATCCCTTTCCTTCACACCACACTCCTATTATGAGTCAGGCTTGGCCCCCAATATTTTCTCCCCATTCTCCGGTGACTTTTTAGACGTCTTGTTTGGATGCGTCTTCAGAAGATAGCCACAGTTGAATGAGAAATGGAAGCTGGCTAGAATTGGTTGCTAAATATAGATCATGGCTTACCTCATAAAGAACAAGATGAGCTCGATAAGACAATAATGTGACATTAAGATTCAGAGTTGAGGTTTCAGTTGAGAATTCAGGAAGCCACAGGAGATAAACCTTACCTGATTTTAAGAGGTGGGCCACATCCCTGTGGAAAGATTAAAAGCAATACCATTGTAGAATTGCACAGGTGGGTGTGTGTTACTTCGTTATAGGTATTCATGCAGGGCTCACCCCACCTGTGTTTTTTTTACCCTTGACTTCAGGTCCTATGAAAAAGTATAGGGTTGAGTTGCCAGAAAGCATGGCTTTGTGTCTGACCTTGCAAGAGTCATTGGATCATACTGATTAGCAAAGAAAAGCAAAGTGTTGGTAATGAAGAAGTTTCCAGTTCCTGGAACACTCTCCTTTGGTATGGTGATGTATCTTCTGAAACACACCTTACACACCTCCTTGCTTACTGTGGAAATCTGCTACCGCACAGGCGAATGTCATGTGCATGGAGTTTGGCAACCCGAGGGTTAAGCAATGACAGGCTGACGCTATTCGTGTAACCAGCACAGGTGCAGGGTTTTAGTACTACAGCAGCCAATCAGTGACAGACAGTGTGGGTTGAGTCATATTTTCCGTTTACAGAACCAATGGGTATTTTACATAACGACGGGAGGGGGGGGGGGGGGGGGGGGAGGTCAGGCTGAGGACATACTGAAGTTAGCACATGTATACTACACTCCAGGGAACAGGAAGGCAGGAAGAAGAAGAAGAAAAAAACAAAAAAGAACTAGACCTTTGAGAGGAAAAGGAATTGACCCAGTAGCCCGTACAAAATGTTTGCGTCTAATTTCGCAACGAGTGACTTACTGACACAGGGCTGTTTCAGAGAAGCTGGGGGGAGCATAAGTGACCACCATGTATTGGAGACTCCCCACATGGCTCTGGGCTTTGGGGGAGCCAAGAGGCTTGAGTGGCTGGATCTGAACAAGGAGGCACCTGCAGCTTCATCAGAGAGCCTTAACTAAAGATGTTTCAAACCTTAGTTGTTAACCTGAAGAGATAAACCCTTACCTGAGTAAATGAGCTCAGGTGTTGATGTGCCATCCTAGGGTATGCGTGCGTGTGTGTGTGTGCGTGCGTGTGCGTGTGCACACATACGAGGGCGTTTTAGGGCTCCTGGATCTTTCAAATCCACCAGCTGCTTTTCTTTGTCCTTTCTGTCCAGGCTAAGCATTCTTTGCAATTAAACATCCCAATAAATGTAATTAACATTCCATGTACATTTCCCGTCATGGCCGTCATGGCTTGGGCTCAGGTGGACAGAATCCCCTCTGTGTGTATATATCGATGTGAACAGGAGTGCTAGCAACCTGTGTGCAGTAACAGTGACCTTGGGCTCCGTGTTCTGTAATGTTCTGTAATGCCAAGCAACGGGTCCAAGTAGCCCTGGCAGTCAGTGGCATGATAAGAGATAAGATCGGCTTGTAGGATGCCCAGGCTCTCCCTGAAGCAGTAGGAGAAACTGCTCTTCCCTGATAGCTTTTGGAGAAATGTCAGCATTCCCCTGAGACAGGCTCCCACTGCTGCAATGTGAACTTTGTAAATTGTGTAACCCCTATTAGGATATGTCTTATAAGCTGTAGCATAATGAATAGTATTTGGGGCTTTGCATCATACCCTCCACCCCAGGCTCTCTCTCAGTACTTTGCTAATGTTTATTGCAGTTTGTATTGGTTTGTGAAATCCTGAGTCCTCCAGGGTGATGCAAGGCACTGCTAACTGGATGAAGGGGTAACTGGCATTCCTTGGGCCTTTGCGATGAGTACTTGTGGGCGCTATTATTGGGAAGGCCTTGGTTTTCATAGTAGCTGGAAGTAATGGCTTGTTTCCTCTCTCCTACAGAACCCAGCTCAGACTGGAAAGTCTAGAAGATACACACATAATTAAGGGAGAAGATGATGCTTTGTCAGACAAACACGGCTGCCCAGCCTACGTGAGCCCCGAGATTCTCAACACCACAGGGACCTACTCCGGAAAGGCGGCGGACGTTTGGAGCCTCGGGGTGATGCTCTACACCCTTTTGGTGGGACGCTACCCCTTCCATGACTCAGACCCCAGTGCCCTTTTCTCCAAAATCCGACGTGGACAGTTCTGCATTCCTGACCACATTTCCCCCAAAGCCAGGTGCCTCATTCGCAGCCTCCTGAGACGGGAGCCTTCAGAAAGACTCACTGCTCCAGAGATCTTACTCCATCCCTGGTTCGAGTCTGTCTTGGAGCCTGGGTACGTCGACTCAGAAATAGGAACTTCCGACCAGATTGTTCCAGAGTACCAGGAGGACAGTGACATCAGTTCCTTCTTCTGCTAATCCCCAAACCTCAGAAACCTCATAATTCTCACACATGGCATTTCCATTTCTAAAGATGGACAGGCCTTTCCTGCAGAGCTGTTTCCCTTAGTGAACCTTCGCCAGCTGTCCCTGTGTCAGATTTGGGGGTTCCGCATCTTTTACAGGTGGCAAGGAGTATGGATATCCTACAGCATGTGATCAAGTGAAATGAACATTCTAAAGGGAGAGGAAATGAATCGCACAATGGCATTTTGGGCAATAACCATATTTTTAACAGGGTGACAAATAATTTGGGCCAATAAACCTGCCATCTTCGAACTTGTCTTTGGTAGCCAGACTTTTGCTACCCTAGCTTCTCTGATCGGAAAGTTGTTTTTTCTGGTTTGGTTTAACACTCACCCTTTCTTCATCTTTTCGGAGCAGACTGTTTCAGGGGCATAGGAGCCTGCCTGAACCACGAACCCAGAATTTCTCCTCCATTTCCTGCCAAGACCTCATTTGCACTAATGCCTTCTTTCTGACCTTGAAATGCGCCCTCCCATCCCTTCACTATAAAAGCACTTACCAGCTAACTGTGGAAAAGTATCATAAAAGATTCAAACTCCTGGCTATTTTAGAACTCTGAGCTCAGACAGAGAGACTGGAGACTTTTAACAAGAATTTGAGCACTTGGAAACCATTAGCTTTCTTGGTTCCCCTCAAATATGTTAGCATTTATCCTTTACTTTTTTCCCCAAGACCATCTCAGGGTGGAGCATTTTGTCTAGGAGGAGAAAGATAAGAAGGCTCTCCACTCCCTCTCCCAAGAGCAAATGTTAAACATCTTTGTGCTTCAGAGAAAGTGAATTTTGGTTAGTCTTAGACAGTTCTCGGACTAACTTCCAGAATTATACTTTAACCACCCCCATGGGTATGGTCTGCAGTTTTGCATGACAGGTTGTGAATATTTCAGATGTGGTGTGGTTTATGAATACATCTGTATCATCAGTATCTGGGATGAAATAGCAAGCCCCAAATCTTTAAACTTGAAAGGGACGTTAAAAGTCATCTGGTCCAACTTCTTTCGTTTCTCTGCCACCTCCCAATGCAGAAATCCGCCCCCCGACACACAGCTTCTTTCACAGGTTGGGTCTGCAACCTCTTTTTGAATGCTTCCAGAGATGGGAACTCACTACCTACAAAAGATAGAGCTTAACAAAGAAACTGCAACTTGCATTAAAAAAACAAGTACAGATGAAATATCAGTAAATAGACAGTACTGAAGTCAGGTGATTAAACGGGTAAACCAAACATACTGTATTTTGAGAAATGGCACAAAAACAGGCAGTCACTTTTAAGGGCTACGCCTAGGCAAACTACTAACATGCATTGTGAGAATACCGTGTATACCTCACGTACTGTGTACTTTGTACATATAGTGTACCTTTTATACATATGTCCGATTTTTTTGTTGTTGTTTTGGCTCTGACGCTTGTTCTGTTGTCTGTGTCTGTCTGAATAACCTGCGTGTCTAAGGCCACGTGAAATGTGAATGATCATTGGCAATATTACCTTGACAGAATCATGGGACTTGGAGAAGAGGGAGGACAGAAGCCTCTGTCCCACTAACGTTCTTATGGTTGCTTGAATGTTGTATCTGTGATACATGACCCGGCTGAGGACTCTGGGCTGGCTGGGGCTTCGAAACACTAGATCCTTCCTGTACATGTGTATATATGTGAGACGGCTGTTTCTGACTTGTAGAGAAATTTTAATAAATCTGGTTTCGTAAATGGGTGCAGTGACTTTCTTTGGAGTCCAATCTGCCACTGCCTGGTGCACTTTCACACTGAGGCTGCAAAGGTCTCTGGCATCAGGGCCTGGGATCTCGAGGAGGAGACGGAGAAGTAAACAGGTGATGATTATTATGTATGACCTTTGACAGCTGAGCCCATTCACTTTTTCCATTGAAGTGAGCAAATTCATTTTGATGGGTGAAACCAATTTGGTGAATCAGGTTGGTGAGGGCTATGGGTTGAATTTAGAGTCGGGAAACATTTCAAGAGGAGCATAGATAAAAAAGTCTTGAGTTGTAAGAGTCCCTCTGACTTACGGTCCTTTTTAGTTCAGGGACCCTTGAGAATTTGATGAAAATCGTGGACACTTCTCAGAAAAATGTACATGTGTATCCAACAGAATTTTGTTGTAATTTCAGAGGTCCACATACATCCCTGAAGGCATCACAGGACTTCTGATGAGAACCAACCTCCCCCCTTACCTCCCCCATTAGACTTAATTAAAATGGCTGAGGCTCTTCCTTTTTTCCTGTAAGTGTGAAAATGGAACTAAAGGAAGGAAAACTGAAAGCAACATTATTTTGAATTACAAAGGCAGAGAAAGAAAGGATTTTGATTTGATTAGGTATATAGCCTCACTATCACATCAGAATTTATTCTATATGAAGTCAGCATCCAGAGTGTTTTTTTTTTTTTTTTTTTTTTATGCAGTATGTGTGCCTCCCACTGCTATGGCCTCTCCCGCTGCGGAGCACAGGCTCCGGACGCGCAGGCCTAGCGGCCATGGCTCACTGGCCCAGCCGCTCCGCGGCATGTGGGATCTTCCCGGATCGGGGCACGAACCCGTGTCCCCTGCATCGGCAGGCGGACTCTCAACCACTGCGCCACCAGGGATGCCCCAGAGTGATTTTTAAAAAAATATTTTCATTGTAAGTGTAACAAGTATATAGAAAAATGCACGTAGAAGTGTGTGGCTCTGAATTTTCACGAAACAAACACACTGGCCTAACCTACAGTCAGGGCAAGGAAACAAAACACTGCCAGGCCCCCAGGAGCCCCCTCCTGCCCGTTTCAGTCCCTACCTGACACCTCCTCCAAGGGTTACCACCATGGGACAGAATTTTTAAGTTCTAATGGTAAAAGTTAGAATGAGGATTAAGTCATCACTCTGGGCTCAAATGAAAAGGCATACAGAGGTTACAGGTGACACAGTTGCCCTTTCTAGGACTTAGGCTGAGGTCACTCAGGAAAGAGACCTGTGACACCAAAGTAAGTGCAACTCAGGCCTCGTGGCCCAGGAACTTAAGAAATGGAAAAAGCACAAAGCAACACAAGGAATGGTCAGATGCCTGAGAAGCTAAGAGACTAGGAAGCTGGGAGTTGATCTAGGGCCATTCCACGAAGAAGACCCTTAAACCCCAAAGTTCCTGGGTCCTCAGAACATACACTGCAATTTCTCCCTGCCCTGATGAACCCAGGCGAGGCTCTGCACAACTCCTTGGGCACACAGAAGGCTAATACTTTGGACTTCACAGAGCTTTTTAATCTAAGGATTTCAAAATACTTTGCAAGCAATTAAGGTTACAGCACCTTTTTGTACTGTCGTTGCATGAACAAAGTGGAGAGAAATATGGGTCAGGATTGGCTGGGATGACACGTGATGCCACAAATCCATAAATTTAATCTCTTCAAAGGTTGGAACAAATCTGGGGCAATCACAACCAGTTACATTATAGAAGGTTGGAAGGAGAGTGTACCGAGTACTGGTTAAAAGGCTGATCACTTTTATTTTCTCTTGTACCCTCAACATAAATCATTCAAGTAACATATCAATGACTGTTTATTCATATTGTACTTTCTAGAAGTTTTCACTCTTTTTCTCCCCTTTTCCTTCTCCCTCTCCTTCTCTCTCTCCTTTTATATTCACAGCAGCCAAGTGAAATAGGCAAGTCAAATATTACTTGCTCCATTTGATAGATGAGAAAACAGGCTCGAATGTCTTTCAGGAGCTACTTAGAAGTAGGCAGCTCAGGGCTGGGACATAAACTCAGGTCTTTTACTCCTTGTCTAATGTTGCGGCTATGTCTGCACACGGCTGTTTAACTTCTTCTGGTAAGAATGACGACTGGAGAAGACGGTTCAAGACAAATACACATACTGAGATTTTAGCCCCCTCAAGGTCTTCACAGTGATTCAGTACGTCAGTTATAAAGGTGGGAGCATTATTGAAGATGAGAGATATCCATTATTCAAAAAACATTTACTGTTCACCTACCATGTGCCAGGCACTGTGGTAGACCCTTGGGAAACAGATGACCAAGACTCAGTCGTAGCTCAGTGAATAGAAAGCTCCATGAAGTTGGGGACTGTGACCGTCTTTGTCACCCCTGGCTCTCAGCACTCAGCTCAGTGCCTATCACAGGAAGGTGTCCAGTACCAACACGGATGGATGAATGGGTGGGTGGGTGGATGAGTGGATGGACGAGTGGGTGAGTGAGTGGACGAGTGGATGGATGAGTGGGTGGATGGATGTGTGGATGGATAAATGGAGGGATGTCCTCCAGCAGCTCAGAGCCTAATGGGCCTCCAAGTCAGAGAGCCGAGAGCACAGAAGCCGGGATCTTGTGACTGGGGTCTCTTCCTAGCTCTGAAGCTCTTCCACTATTTGACCTTGAACGAGCAGATCTGCCTCTCTGGCTCTCATTTGCTCATCTTTAAACAGGAGTGATACTCTTTGACTTCTTCGGCCTCTTCAGCTGGTATTCTGTGAAAAGAGACTGATTCTGTGAAAACAGGGCCTACAATAATCTTCGTCAGAGGGACCATCGGAATAGCTTTATGCTTCCTTTTAAAACTAGTCACAGGCAGCGTGAAATTAGAATGAAAATTTCATAATGGATGAGAAAAGGCATTGTAGCAATGAAGATTATGGAACTGGCTGTTCAATATGACTTTGGCTCCCCTCCAAAAAAAAAAAAAAAGAGGAGTAGGATCTCACTACCAACCCCTGGGAACTGCCCATATGAGATTTCAGTGGATTCTTAAAGATCACAGTAGCAGTCAATGACTTACGGTTCCTAGAAGAGGTAGGAAAAGAGGAAGATGGTCCCTTTCACAAATATCACACCTCAATCGTGCTTGATGCTTGACAGTATGCGTCTCATTTTATCTTCTCAGCAACCCTGTGAAGTGGATGATTTGTTCCCATTTAGCAGATATGGATGCCGAGACCTAGAGGCTGAACAGTGTGTCCAAATTCATGCAGTGGGTGGGTGGGACTCAAACCCAGGCCTATTTGGCTCCAGATCTTTGCCTTTTCCAGTCCGGTGCTTTACACTTTGGGTTTGATGTGCTAGACCAGCAACATGATATCTTCTTTTTGGAGCAGCCATTGTGCTGGGAGATTTTTTGCCAGGAAGTGTACCATATGCTGGATTACTCCTTGTTTTAGTCTATGATGTCTACTTGCTGAGACTTATCAACAGAGCCCTCATGGCGTACTAAGAGCTGTGCTAAGTGCTTCACGTGAATTAACAAATTACCTCACAGCACCCCTATAAAGCAGTACTGGTATCATCCCCTTTTTATAGATAAAGAGACTGAGGTTCAGAGAGGGTGAGGGATTTATCCAAAGTCACACAGCACAGCATTCATCCAGAGCTCTTAACCATGAGGGCTTACTGCCTCTTGGTTTTTAGAACTGGGAGACTTTGTAAACGATTTAGTCCTAAATGCAATGTGGCATCCTGGAAAAGGAAAAGGACGTTAATGAGAAAATGAGTGAAATCCAAATAAAGTCTGGATTTTAATTAGTAATAATGTGTCACTGTTGGTTTCTTAATTGGGACAAATGTACCACGGAAATGTAAAATGATAGGATCAGGGGAAACCGAGTGAGGGATATTCGGCAACTATCTGTACTATTTCTGTAAATCTAAAATTATTCCAAATAAAATGTTTATTATAAAAAACAGATTTAGTCCACACTTACCCCATTTTAGGAGGGGACACCAAGGCTGAGACTGGGGAAGCCACAGCCAAACAGCAGCCGGGCCACTCCTGACCAAGCTCCCACCCCCGCGCCTGCATCCTGCAGCTCAGCTTCCTGGGTGCAAGCTGGTGTGTTGTGCGTGACCTTCTAGAATGTGTCTGGACCCAAATGAGATCAATGTCAGGCACGTCCATGGAGTAAGCCAGAAAAATTTTGGACGTGAGACACGGCATTTTGAAAACATCGGTTCTGAGGTCTGTCCTTTCAGACAGTGACTACATGAGTGTCCCCAGCACTTTCCTCACCTGGCCGTCGCACTTGGTCAGCACAGCCCGGCGAGCCAGGCCCGTGGCTGTGCAGCTCAGTCATGATCTCAACTCCACGCCTCGTTAGCTAGAAGGCAGCAGGCGCATCCCCAGTAGAAGGCTGGACCGCGAGGGCCTGTGGGGTCAGGGTTCAAGTACACTCCAAACGGACTTCCCATCCCCGTTACACGTGAGGAGGCCTTTGGGAGGTGAAGAGCCACCAGACCCGCTCCCTGTGGAGCCGTAGCTGTCAGCAGCCGGGAGGCAGGTTTACCCACACTCCCCCCATTTTATGGATGGGGAAGCCAAGGCTGAGAGAGGGGAAAGAATAGCCGATTCGCAGCCAACGCTCGTCTTGTATTTGAAATTTTCTTTCTCAGTAGCTGCAGTCAGAGTTGGTTTCCAAGTTCTTGCTGATCAGCACCTTTCTCACTTCTTCACTGGGGAAGTGAATTTGTGGAGGACATTTCACGGACAGCCCCTGAACACTCAATATGCTTTCGACACACTGCTGGATGTCCTGTGCCAACTATGAACACAGAAAGGGAATAATTAGAATGACTGTGATGATAGGAACCCACGTGTACTGAGTACTCATACCTGCCCAGCACTGCCTTAGCCCTTTACAGGCACGGCCTCATTTCATTCTTATAACAACTCTGTGAGGAAGGCACTCTTATTTGTCCCATTTTACAGGTGGGTACA